AAAATGACACATCAATACATATCTATTAGGATGGCCAAAATCCAGAACACTGACAACCTTAAATATTGGTGAGGATGTGAAGCAGCAGGAATTCTTATGCATTGCTGGCGGGAATACAAAATGGTACAGCTACATTGGAAAACTGTGGTTTCCTACAAAACTAACCATACTCTTATCTTAAGCATTTCTTGGTATGTATCCGAAGGAGTTGAAAACATGTCAACACAAACACCTGCATATAGATATTACAGAAAATTTATTCATAATTGTCAGAACTTGGCAGTAACCAAGATGTCCTTCAGTGGGTGAATGGATAGATAACATCCATACAATAGAAAATTACTCAGTGCCAAAAAGAAATGAGCTATCAAGCCAAAGAAGACATGGAGTCACCTTAAATGCATATTACTAAGTGAAAGAAGCCAATGTGAAGAGGCTACATACCATATGATACATACTGTAGGACATTTTGGAAAAGGCAAAACTATGGAGACAGAAAAAAGATCAGTGGTTGCCAGAGGTTGGAGTGAAGGAGGGACAAATAGGCGGAATACAGAGGATTCTTAGGGTGGTGAAGATGCTCGGCACAATACTACGATGATGGATACATGTCATTTTATGTTTGTTCGAACCTATAGAATGCACAACACAAAGAGTGAACCCTAATGTAGACTATGGATTTTGGGTGATTATGATGTATCAATGTAGGTCCACCAATTGTGACAAAGGTACCACTTTGATGGGGAATATTGGTAATGTAAGAAACTATGCATATGTGGGGGTAGGAGCTAAATAGGGAATCTCTGTACCTTCCTCTCAATTTTGCTGTAAGCCCAAAACTGCTATAGAAAAAAAAGGATTAAAAAAAAGAAACTATCCTTGAAAAGTTCCCAGCAATGTCTATTTCTACTTGTGGAACCTTCGAACAGATCTTTTTTTATCTTGGGAAAAATCTTCTGAGTTTCTCTTAATTGTGTGGCATTAAGGCATTTATCCAGGAAAAATATGTCGGGGCACTGTTAGACCTCAGGAAGGCAGTCTGGAGTGGACATCTGTTGCTGTGTCTACCCAGCCACTTTATTTTATGGGAATTGTGTCACAAATTCTGGAAATTGTTCTGTATATCCATGTGGACGTAAAGGGATTTTTCATGTTTTTCAATGTCCCTGTTAATTATAATTGAACACTTGAACCTAAATGGGCCAATTAATCCCCTTAATGCCTGGAATTTTGATATGGAAAAAGTCTTCAACTCAAGAAATAGCAAGGTCAATTATTCTTGAATAAAAAAATTGATTTAATAAAGGTTGATTATGTTTTATGGAACTCCTAATACATTAGAATGTCCTGTGGAGTGTGATCAAGTGCTATTCAATAGTATTGCTAGGCAATACTAGATGTGAAAGTTTGCTAATAGCATATATAGAAGGAAGACTTTATTTGCAGAGTTGTTAAGAACAGCTGGGATAAATAAGAATGCTGCCAAATCATTTAGTTTCAAGATGAGGTATATCTATTATCATATTAAAGTCTAAATTTGAGGTGATGGATATGTTAACTAACTTTACTATAATAATCATTTTACAACATATAAACGTATTAAATCATCACATTGTACACCTTAAACTTATACAATATGTCAATTACATCTCAATAAAGCTGGAAAAAATGGAATCTAATTTTGATCTTTATATCATTAAGGATTTTTTTGATTTTAAATGTCAGAAAAGCAAACTCGAAATTTTAAGGAGAAAGGAATTATTTGGTTCATGTAAATAAAGTCTGGGGATATATTTATCTTCACATTCCTCTTAAACCAGAAAGAACTTAGTCTCTTCTCTTTCTGCCTTCCTCTGTGCCAATTCCATTCTCTGACAGGCTTGTTCCTCATGCTGGCAAGATAGCTACATCTTGATAACTCCAAGTTCAGTGGAAAAGGGGAAGCTGTCCCATGGATATGCATAAAGGCCCTGAGAGTTATTCTCACTCTAAATCAGTTACAAACCCATCACTGAACAGATCACTGGGATCGGAAGGATGATGCACTATACAGGGTGGGCTAGGCTAGGTTATGGCATGTTAACAAAAACCTGAATTCCCGAGGACTGATGACAATCTTTATATCTCACACATGCTGTGTTGCCATCAAAGGCAGGCTGCTTCTTGGTTATCCTTACTCCAGAACTCAGGCTGAAAGGCAACCACTTTCTGGCTGCTGTCATGGTAGCAGAAGAAAAAGTTTTGGTAGATCTGCATGAGCAATTAAATGCTTGGTCTCCAAGTGACATTCACCATTCATTAACCAGAGCTAGTCATATGGCCCCCCTCAACCATAGGGGGGACAGGAAGTTCAATCCACTCTGGAAAATGGTATGGAGGTTCCTCAAAAAGTTGAAAATAGAGCTACCCTAAGACCCAGCAATTGCACTACTAGGTATTTACCCCAAGCATACAAATGTAGTGATCCAAAGGGGCACCTGCACCCCAATGTTTATAGCAGCAATGTCCACAATAGCCAAACTATGGAAAGAGCCCAGATGAAGATGTGATGTGTACACACACACACAGACACACACACACACAATGGAATATTATGCAGCCATCAAAAAATGAAATTTTGCCATTTGCAACGACGTGGATGGAACTAGAGGGTATTATGCTAAGCAAAATAAGTCAATCAGAGAAAGACAATTATTATATGACCTCACTGATATGTGGAATTTAAGAAACAAGGCAAAGGATCATAGGGGAAGAAAGGAAAAAATGAAACAAGACGAAATCAGAGAGGGAGATAAATCGTAAGACACTCCTGATCTTACTTAATCTTACCCAAACTGAGGGTTGCTGGAGCGTTGGGGGTGGTGGGGTAATGGGGTGATGGACATTGGGGAGGGTATATGTTGTAATGAGAACTGGGTACTATATAAGACTAATGAATCACAGACCTGTATCTCTGAAACAAATAATACATTATATGTTAATTAATTGAATTTAAATTTAAAAAAATTTAAAAAGGGGTGCAATCCTATCGTGTGCTCAGGATGGGGAAAAATTGAATTTTTTGGCAAACTGTATTAATGAATGCCAAATGCACTATTTGGCTCAGGTTATACACCCACCTGGACCTGGGAGGAGGGTCATTTCCACTACAGCTGAGAACCTGCAGGTCCCCACAAAAATTTAAGCTATTGGTAGAAAAAAAAGAATTGTCATCAGAAAAAGAAATCAATAATACATTTAATTAAGTAAGTTTCTAGTAAATGATCAAAGTTTTGGATTCAGTTTTAGTATATCTTCCTGTGTTAAAAAATTATTAACTTTGAAGGATTACAAAATTTACTCTATTTGCGGTTTTAAAACAAAACCCCAAAACTAAATGCTATTTCTTCCCCATCCTCCTTATTTTAAATTGGTTGATTCCCTGAAGGAATCAGTAGAGTCTAAAGTTTTCAGAGTGGACATTTAAATCTGGCTTAGTTCCTAATTTATGGGTTGTAGGACAGCTCAACCTGTAAACATTAAGGTGGTTTTAAAGCCATAACTAATTCTTTTTTTTTTTTAAGATTTTATTTATTTATTTGTGAGAGAGAGAGTTAGAGAGAGCACAAGAGCAGGGTGAGGGGCAGAGGTGAGAAGCAGACTCCCCTCTGAGCAGGGAGCCCAATGCGGGGCTCAATCCCAGAGCTCCAGGATCATGACCTGAGCCGAAGACAAACACTTAACCAACTGAGCCCACACAGGTGCCCCGCCATAACTAATTCTATTCACAAATAAAGATGTGGGATTCACACTTGGTCTTCGTTCTTAGTAGCTAGCTAAAATGTTTCTGAAACCCTTGTGAGTAGTACCATTATTAGACCATTTTTCCCCCCAAGATGTTCAGTATCAAGGACTTTTCTTCCTTTGTGAGGAACAGATCTCCATTTAAGGGAATTCAGGAAAAGAGAAGTTTATTGTAAGACTATTCATTCCATCTCTAGGACTACATGAATTCTTTCATTGTGATTTTTCTCCTTTTCTCTTTTAGCATCTCCTCTATTTTTCCTTTCTTACTAATATCTGTGCTTATTATTTTCATAACCCAGGGCACTGCGGCTGAAGGACAACAGTGACAAATTATAATCTCTGAACCTCTTAGACAAATTCTAAAGAAAAAGGATAAAATTTGTAGGGTGCTGAAAACTGGTCTACTGTGAGTCAGTTCAGCTCTGGCTGGTGGAAGATAGCACATGGTACATACAACTGCCCCTTTTAGAGCATTTGTGTGGAGCAGGTTTAAAAGGAAGGAGAACTGTGCAAGAAAGCTAACTGGCTATATCTGTAGGAAGTAGGATGAGAATATTAATTCCATTAATGCTTACTATAATTATAAGTGCTTTACAAATATGAATTCTGCTCTGTGATGTAGATACTGTTATTACTCTCATACTATAAATAAGAAAATGATGATACAGAGATAACAAATACCTTCCCGTGGTTATGCAGTTAATAAGATGCAGATTCACCCAGTATTTCAAAGTAGTCTTGCTCCTGAGTCTGTGGTCTTACCTATCAGCCTCCTCCACTACTCTTGGCTCTTCTGAAGCATCTGGATTCACACCAGCGAGTTTATTAATGTTTTGGGGTTTTCCCTTAACTCTTTTGCCAGTAATGAAATGCTTCTCATTCTCCGAAGTTCATCACAAATACTAACATTTTCACTCTGGAAGCTTCCCTGAGCACCTTCCTTCTGCTGCACAAACCATCCTGCACATTCCCTTAATTACCACACTGATCACCTTGTGCTGTATTTGGGTAACACTGTAATACCATGAGCTTCTGCAGAGCAAGGGCTATATATTTCTTATCTTTGTATTCCTGGTGCATGGCATAATTCCTGGCACATGGAATATACTTAATGTATTGTTATTGGATAATTCACTTAATGAAAGAATGAATGCATTAAGTAAGATTTGTGCCACACAAATTTTACCAGTCTCTCTTCTGCGACCATTATATAGGACAAAAAGCGCTTCCATAAGAAAACCTGGGACGAATGCCTGTGAATCTTTGAAATTACTGGGATTCAGAGGCCAAGACAGTGGTTGGTTTGGGCTGGATGATGTGGTCGTGAGAAACATGCAGAGTGGCTTGATATCGTTTGAGTTGTGTGAACATTTAGAGAGGTAATACAATAGTAAACAATAAAAGTTGACAATATTATGTCTTGATGATTTATAATTGATGTTTATAGAAATGGAATTATAGGGTTAAATTTTTCTTCCTCAAATAAGAGTATCAATAGTTCTTCAGGGTGTGCTTAAAATGTAAACCGGAATTGATATGAATATGCTATCTATAATTTCATTCATGAGAGTTTAATAAGTGCATTCGGAAACCACTCATAACTTAGATGTATTAAGTTTTCTTTTAACTCCCAAATAGTTGTAAAATAGCACCTTTATTTATGAAATTCCATAAAGACAGTAATTTACTGTTCATACTATGCTCATCTCATAACTATGTATATGTAACTGAATTCATTATTTCTGTGTCCTCATTTTACTTTCTCATTTCCATGTTTTCTAGACAGTTCGTAATGAAAAGAGTTTTAGACAGTTTTAAGGCTCATCAGGAGCAGATATTCATAAAGAGAAGACAATCCTATGGCTAAAAATAGCTTTCATTTTAAAATGGAAGATCTTACATCTACAATTGTCTTGGGTCAGAAGCAGAGTCTAAGATGAGAATCTATTGATTTATTGAGGGAGAACACTTAGGTGAATCCTATAAGGGAATGAAAGAAACAAGTAGGGCAAGGGAGTAAGATCGGAAAACCTATGGTTTCAGTAGAAGTTTTATCTCAGCCTGATACCTGAGGGAAGCTCTGGAGCATGAAGACCAAGAAGGCTGGCTTTACACCCCTGCATCAGTCAGTCCCTGTCCATGGGTGCAGGGATGCTCTGGTTGAGGGGGCTCCTGTAGGGCAATTCTTTGGAGAAGAGTTGGGGGAAATGTGGGGACGGGTAGCGATCCAGCCCAGAGAAAGATGTGTGTATTAGTCTGCCAGGCTGCCGTAATAAAGTCCCACAAACTAGGTGGCTTTAACAACAGAAATGTATTGTCTCATAATTCTGGAGGCTAGAAGTCCAAGATCAAGGTGTTTGCAAGTTTCATTCCTTCTGAAGACTGTGAAGGAAGGATCCGTTCCAGGCCTCCTTCTTTGGCTTATAGATGGCCATTTTCATGTTCACATGGCATTCCGTGTGTGTGCATATTTCTATGTCCAGATTTCCCCTTTTTATGACACCAGTTATATTGGACCTAATGACCACGTTAACGTGATTACCTCTGTCAAGACCCTATCTCCAAATAAGGTCACATTCTAAGGTACTGGGGGTTAGGCCTGCAACACAGGAATTTGAGTAGAGGGGACAAAATTCAACTCATAACAAGGTCCATTCACAACAATCTTTACCACACAGTGAGAGATAAAAATTTTAACTCCCACTTAATTATGACATGTATTTTTTGTCCCACTGGTAGTAAATGGATGATCTTGATTATCTTTCTCTTTGCATAGTTTGAAGTAATACTCTTTGGTAATGCTAGTTAAAATATAATTTAAAAGATGTTGGCGGAGATGTGGATAAAGGGGAACCCTCCTACACTGTTGGTGGGAATGCAAGCTGGTGCAGCCACTCTGGAAAACAGTATGGAGATTCCTCAAAAAGTTGAAAATAGAGCTACCCTACGACCCAGCAATTGCACTACTGGGTATTTACCCTAAAGATACAAATGTAGGGATCCGAAGGGGTACGTGCAACCCAATGTTTATAGCAGCAATGTCCACAATAGCCAAACTGTGGAAAGAGCCAAGATGTCCATCGACAGATGAATGGATAAAGAAGATGTGGTGTATATATACAATGGAATACTATGCAGCCATCAAAAGGAATGAAATCTTGCCATTTGCAATGACGTGGATGGAACTGGAGAGTGTTATGCTGAGCGAAACAAGTCAATCAGAGAAAGACATGTATCATATGACCTCACTGATATGAGGAATTCTTAATCTCAGGAAACAAACTGAGGGTTGCTGGAATGGTGGGGGGTGGGAAGGATGGGGTGGCTGGGTGATAGACATTGGGGAGGGTAGGTGCTATGGTGAGCGCTGTAATTGTGCAAGACTGTTGAATCACAGACCTGTACCTCTGAAACAAATAATAAATTATGTGTTAAAAAAAAAAAGAAGAAGAAGATAGCAGGAGGGGAAGAATGAAGGGGGGGAAATCGGAGGGGGAGATGAACCATGAGAGACTATGGACTCTGAGAAACAAACTGAGGGTTCTAGAGGGGAGGGGGTGGGGGGGGATGGGTTAGCCTGGTGATGGGTATTAAAGAGGGCACGTTCTGCATGGAGCACTGGGTGTTATGCACAAACAATGAATCATGGAACACTACATCAAAAACTAATGATGTAATGTATGGGGATTAACATAACAATAAAAAATTTAAAAAAATTAGAATAAAATTTCAAATGTAAAAAAAACATAATAATAAAAATATATATAAAAATATGCTGCTATATTTAGAGCTGATCTGAGCCTGGATGATTGCTTCGTCCATGAACATCTGTTTAGAACTTGGTTTGGTTTGAACGGTTTCCTGACTGCCAAGAGTTTCATTAATGTCACTCATGAATCTAACTATTTGGTTATCAGCATGCTTGATTTTGAAGAATGCTTGGATGAGAATGGCTCTCTCCTTGGGTGTTGCTTGTTATCAGTGCTATCTTTGAGATGACAGGTGGCCCTTAATGTCATGCCTCTCTGCTCCCATGCAGGTTTATTGTGCTTCATCTTTCTTCCAATGTGGAAAACAGCCATTTGGTTTCTTTCATGAAAGCTCTGGAGGAAGCCATGCTCAGCGGCATTGCCTGTGCTGTTCTTTGCCACCAGAAAGACAATCCCCGGAGAGTCATTATTCTCATGGGCCGTCCAAAGATTTAAACCAGGTGCTTCGGAACCTGCGCTCAGAAACGTTCGGTGGTCCCCAGGAGCCATCGCGCTCCTTCCAAGTAAAAGAAGAGACCAACTTCTTTTAAGATTTACTGGAAATAACTTTGCTTCAAGTAAGTATAAAGACACTTGTTGTATGCTCTATGGGCTTAGGGCCGCAAACTTCAGAAAGAGTTCGTGAAACTTGTATGACTAAGGACGCTTCCAGAAAACTGAGAGGAGGCTTTTAAAAAGTGGGAAGAGGAAAACACTTACTTGTTTCTTCCTTTCCAGTCTCTTTCTTTTCTTATGAGGGGTGCATGATCCCTTACAGGCGGACTCTAAGTGACATTCTTCTATAAATATCTTCTCCGTGATTACTCTGAGTCCAAGCTAGAATCATCGCTCTCACATACCAGTGCAGTTGCCTCCTAAATACTCCTCCGCTTCTACTATTAGCCACGTGAAATCTAATTCCACACAGGAACAATAGTGATCTTTTAAAAATATAAATCATGGGCGCCTGGGCGGCTCAGTTGGTTGGGCGGCTGCCTTCGGCTCAGGTCATGATCCTGGAGTCCCGGGATCGAGTCCCGCATCGGGCTCCCTGCTCAGCGGGGAGTCTGCTTCTCCCTCTGACCCTCCTCCCTCTTGTGCTCTCTGTCTCTCATTCTCTCTGTCTCAAATAAATAAAATCTTAAAAAAAAAAAATATATATATATATATATAAATCATACTTTATTACCCCATCATTAAAACCTTACAATTATCTCTTATTTTACTTAAAATAATAACTAAACTCGTTCTGATGTCTTATGAAGAATCTAACCTGGGATCAGTGGACTCCCAAGAGATGTGTGGATAGAACTATATTCCAATATAATTATCTTACTTATACTTTCACGTATTTTATTTTATATATTTATCTATTTTTTATTTATTTATTTTATTTATTTTTTTTAAAGATTTTATTTATTTATTTGACAGAGAGAGACACAGTGAGAGAGAGAACACAAGCAGGGGGAGTAGAAGAGGGAGAAGCAGGTTTTCTGTAGAGCAGGGAGCCTGATGCAGGGCTCGATCCCAGGACCCTGGGATCATGACCTGAGCCGAAGGCAGACGCTTAATGACTGAGCCACCCAGTCGCCCCTATATATCTATTTTTAAAAAAGATTTTATTATTTTTTTGACAGAGAGAGATGGCAAGAGAGGGAACACAAGCAAGGGGAGCTGGAGAGGGAAAAGCAGGCTTCCCATTGAGCAGAGAGCCCAATGTGGGGCTCGAACCCAGGACGCTGGGATCATGACCTGAGCCGAAGGCGAATGCTCAAAGACTGAGCCGCCCAGGTGCCCCTATATTTTAAAAGACTACTCTGAGAAGCAGTCAGTAGGTTTTACCAAACTCCAAAAGGGTCCATGGCACAAAAGTGGTTAAGAACCTCTCTCTGATCTAGATGACATACCCTGTTTACCTCTCATCCTCATATTTATCTGGTGCTTTTTTGCTTCCATTATAAATCTTACCACAATTTGAAATTATTTTATTTGTTTATTTACTTTTCATTCATATACTTATGTTCTTCACTGGAATGTAAATTTCATAAGGTTGACAACTATGTCTTTCTTGCTGTGTACCCCTGAGCCTGGTACATCGAGAACCTGGTACATCAAGAGCTTTCAATAGGTATGCAGTAAATGGGTGAATATATGACAATACTAAGAAAAACAGCACGAATGAATAGGAGAGGTTGCAGGATAAGGGGGGAGAAGTGAGGGAATAGATAAGAAAAGGGGGTAAAAGAAGATGAAGGGAAAAAGAAAAGGAAAAAAAAGGAGAACACAGAGAGAATACAGCTGTATGAGAGAAGAGATTAAAAAGATTTTTGGAGAAGTTGCCATTCCAGCGATTTCTTTTTTACTAATTCAACCACTTCCCCTCTGTAACTTCTTTCCTTGATGTGGAATAGAATCTAACAGGTATGCATGCAAAAGCCAGGGGTAGGGGAGAAGTCAGGCATGGGTTTTATGGGGATTTCTGGCCCAGGAATCTTGTGATAGACTTGACCTGAAGTAATATTTTCAGTTCACTTATAAACTGATACAGATCTCATTGATTTTTTTAAAAGATTTATTTATTTGACAGAGAGAGATGAAGCGAGAGCAGGAATACAAGCAGGGGGAGTGGGAGAGTGAGAAGCAGGCTTCCTGCCCAGCAGAGAGCCCGATGCGGGGCTCTATCCCAGGACCCTGGGATCATGACCTGAGCAGAAGGCAGATGCTTAACAACTGAGCCACCCAGGCACCCCAATCTCATTGATTTTTAATGATGCCTATTTTCTCTTTGATTCTGGAAATTAAGCCAAGCACCATTGGCTCTTTCTTGTCACAAAAATGATGCAGCTTGAAGCCGAAGCTGCCCTTTTTCTGGCATCTCAGAGATGAGGCCCAAAGCTTCCCAATGTGAACTGCCTTTTCCACTTCCACGTTCAGTGTCCCAGCCAACTGAGTCAGCCGGCAGGACTTAGTGAGTGAGTGACAAGGGTATCAGAAAAAGGAAAAGGGAAGGGTGAGGAGGGGGAGGAAGGAAGGTAGAAGAGATCCCTTTCTACTTGGCTTCCAAAGCAGAAACCACAGTTCCACCCTTGGACAATCTCTCTAAGAAGAGATAGTCAAATCCTGGAAGTGTCCCACCCAAACTAATGATGCCAGTGATTTTCCTGTAACACTGGGGACAACAGCTGTGTTTACCTAGTGCCCTAAACAGGAGTGAGTTACTGTGCTTCTTATAAGCGATGGTACTGAGTGTATTGTTGCCCGTAATTGGGAGGGGGAACATAAGCTAAAATAAGAGTGCTCGAGGAGGCCAGCACATGAGAAATTTCTCCATGTAGGGAATGGAGAAGAACTCATCTTTACGCGAGGGAAATGAATCAGACAGGATGCCAGATTGCGTCTGCTTTGCCTTTCCTAGAGACCTGTGCTCAGATCTGGGGCCTCAATGGATTTTTCGCCGTCTAAGAGGAACAAGATTCCCAGGAAAGCACTGATACCTCATCCTTTCATTAGAGCCTGTGATAGTTTCTCTGAATCTCAAAGACATACAATTCAGATAATGTCTGCTTAGAGGATTCTCCTCCCCACCCATCCACCCCACCCACTTCCAGTTACCTCCTACTGTACTTTTGTAGCTCACCTCGATGATCATGTTTAGAAGAGTGTTCCCATCTTTCCTGATTATGTCAGTTCTTATCTTACTTTTTCAGATCTTTATGTACTTCTCTTTTGTGTACATGGCTGTAGAGACAATCTTTTTTTATTCATTTGTTTGATCAATATCCAGATCAATATCTGACTACAGTCCCTTGAGAGCAGGTCCTGTCCTGTTGGTGGGCACCATTCAATCCCCAGCACCTAGTACAGTGCCTGACAGTTAGAAGTAGTATTTGTTGGAAGAATGGAAGACAAAAACTTGGGAAAGAACTTAACATTATAGAATTATGCAATTAAAAGTATTTAAAACTTTAATGGATTTAGATGACTGTTTTTTGAGAAATGTCAAAATTTTTATATGTATTTATATAGAATAGAGATGATTCTTTTGAGTGAGATCATGGGCTATGTACTTTATTTCTCCTTCTAAGAGAAAATAAGATAGGTGCTCCCCTGGGTTTTTTATATTAGCCTTTGGCATCCTTCTGAATATATACTTTCATTCTCCAGGTTAGAACTGTTAATTCATCACTTAGACTTCCTATCACATGTCATCTAAACCCCCAGTGCTCACAAAATCCAGAAAGTGCCAGGAAATGGGCAGATAAAATTTGATACTTTAGATTCGATACTTAAAAAATGACACTTTAGCATGACCCATCAAATCTAGTAATTCCTAAAGCCGTCTGTGTGTGTCAAAGTTGCCCTGAATGCCCTTTGGCCCAGAGAAGTGCCTTACCCAGAAACATGTGTAGGATGTTAGAATGAGCCCCCTTTTATTCATTCAATAAAATTTCCTGCCCTTGTGTATATTTTTTCTACTGGAGAGAGACAGAGAAGCAAATAAGTAAATAAAATGTACAGTGTGATGGGAGGGAAGTGCCTTATAGATGAATACAGCAAGGAAAAGACATCAAGAGTCTCAGAGGGAGTGGCAGAGTTGCCATTTTAAATAGACTCATGAAGGAGGACCTTTTTGAGAAAGTGACATTTAAGCAGAGATTTGAAGAAGGTGAGAAAGGAGCCATCATCCTATCTCAGGGGAGTCTGTCCCAGGCTGAGGGATTACAAGTGCTACTAAACAGAGGCATATGTGTGCCTGATCTGTCTGAGGAACAGCAAGGAGGCTGAAATGGGTGGATGAGAAGGAGAGGACTGTTGTAGGAGAGGAGGTGAGTACTGACTATTCCTTGAAGGTCATAGCAAGGAGTTGGCCTTTTATTCCAAGTGAAATGGGGAGCCACTTTGTTAACAGAGGAGTCACATGATCTGAGTTATAGAATAGATTCTCAACACAGTTATAATCTCAGAGGCAAAAGAAGAATTGGGAAGATGAGTTAATGAGCCATTATAATAAACCAAGCATGGGATGGTGGTGGCTTATGGGTAGAGGTGGTGGAGATGTGTTAGGATACAGAAAAACCCTAGCCAGTGGTTCTTACAAAATTCTCTGGTTCTCTATTTTGCTAGACTTTCACTTACTCATCTGAATATTCTAAGCAAAAGCATATATTTCTACATTTGTACTTTCTATGTCATCTTTGAAAAATATTCCAGTTCCCTTCATTGAGAAAAAATATATATTGCTACAAGGTGTATTTAGTAATATAAAATATAAGTAAATTCTATATTTCTTCATATGGCAAATATTTATTGAACAGCTACTATTCCAAGGGCTTCTAGGAAATATGTAATATGTTAAAGAGAAAAAGGTTTTCAAAATGTCAACTAAAGGTTGATTTCATAATTTTGGAATGCAATAAATGAATTTTGCTTTTACTTCTCTAACTATGCCAATGTGGGAGAAAAAAAAAGTAGAATAGTGAAATTCCTTTGTGCTGCTTGTCCTTTTTATAAATTTTTTAAAATTTTTTTTCAAGGGGTATTCAAAATATAGTGCTATATCTTGGCAGCAATGAAATTCCAACTTAAAAAAAATCTAGACTTTCTATTTATAATACTAAGATTCTGCTATTTATTACTAGGAAATCCTCAACAATTTCATCTTTATTTCATATATAAACATGAGATTTACATTATAGATCTTTATTTAAAAAAATTAGCTGGCAATGGGAGGCAGATAAACTGAAGATCTAAATTGAACCAATGTAGCTTTGCCTCACCCTCAATCTTTATATCCTGCATCTAAATTATCCCTTATGAGTAATTAAATACCTGTCAGGGAGTATCTTTCAAAGGATAGAAGGAGAGATTTATTAAGTTGTATTCTATTGGGACCAAAGTAACAACTCTAATAGTATGGAGTAGAACTTTGCCAGGTGTTACTCCAGTGATCTAAAAACTCTAAGTTAGCTAATTTACTAGGTGACATTTTAGTGACTCCAAATTTATTTTTCTTTTTTTTACCAGAGTGAAACTCTTTTAAGAAGGCAAGCCCTGGCTTTTCATTCCTTTCCTAGGATGTCCTAGGAATTGCTCTGTTCAAGTAGCCAAGTTGCCTCTAAAATATAAACTTATGTGAAGAGACATACTCCAACACATTTCATAACCTGGAGTTATTCAAATCTAGATTTAACTGTGCTTTAGAGATTCACCAAAATGACATCTAGCAGTTCAACAGGGAGAAAAATATTGGTGTCATCTACATCTCTCACAGAACTCTTATTTCATTGGGCAGGTTTTCCAAGAGAGAGAGCTCTGAGTAGTCAATGTTCAGGCTTCTAGAAATAGGAAGTTGCAACTTCTATATAAAGGCTTCATGTTGATGTTAAAAAAATATTAAGTGGGTTGTTTTTTATCATACAAATTTAAACCAGTTGAAGGATCCTGCTTCTTTCTTATCATTTGCTATTATTACTATCACCTACTGAGCACTTATTATGAGCTAGGCCCTTGTGCCGATCATTTTATCCATATTATTTCTTTTCATTCCCAGAACAATCCTAGGAGGTAAGTTTTATTGATCTTGTTTTAAAGATAAGGAAGTTAAGCTTCCAAGAAGTTCAGAGATGTGAAAGGACTGGATAAATATTACAATGTAGATAAATAGTTGGGCCGGCCCTGGATCTAGCTCTTTAAGTTTGAAACATACTATCTTAACTGTTACAATATAGCTTACATTTAAATTTTGCAAAGGGTAATGCAGACATGCCTTAGGAAAAATGGCAGTGTCTGTTTTGCTTTTGCAATGCCAACATAAAATTGTCCTGGTAAAACCCCCATGAGTGAAAAGTAATCTCCACTAAAGCTCTGGTATTTTCAATGAGCAGTTGAGAAGATATACCCTTATTTGGCAGAATTAATCAGGTTTCAATAAAAATGTTAGTAACATGAATCTAGTAAGTCTTCCATTTTGAAGTTTTGCTAAAACATCTCTATTTCTGTGATGGTGGAAATGTTTTGCATCTGCACTACCAAATAAGGTAGCTACTAGACATAGGTTGCTATTGAATATTTGAACTGTGGCTGGAGTGACCGAGGAATTGATTTTTCATTTTATTTAATTTTAATTAATTTCACCTTAAATTTTACAAGCCCCACACTGCTAGTGGCTACCGTACATCTAGAATGCCTATTGTGAGGTCATGATAGGGTCCCATATGCTATTAATAGTTAGGAGAGATAAAAAAGACAATTATTGAAAGGTAAAAATAATTTTCTAAATACAGAAAGAACTGAGTATTTCCAATAGTTTTTTGTTAAAGCAAAATGGAATGGAAAAAGAAAATCAAAGATTATTAGATTGAGAAGAAGCCAGAGAGCACCTGGTCCAATTACAGATAAGAAATCTTTTTAGTAATCTGCAGTCGCAGCCTATTGCTGCTTAAATTTTGGCAAAAGGCGATGACACCAAAAAAGCTTAAAAAGTTTGAAAAAGTGAAATAGTTATTTGGATTTTAAAGAAGTAAATAAGACAAAGTGGTAAATTTTAATAGTAACAAATGTATTTTACTTCTTAGGCAATGGGAAGGATTATGGAAAAGATTACAAGCTTATTTTTCATTTACAAAGAAAACCCAGGCTGGAACTCCAAATCAAAGAGGTGGATGAATTTGGAAACTATAGCTGCCCTCATTATAAGGGCACCATTGTAGTTCATAAAATACCTAAATAAAAGGTAGTCCACAACTTGGATCAATCTCTTATACTTGATGAAAACCACTATCAGTTGCCAATTTGCAAATTACCATTGAAATTGCCAAAGGTAAGTTATTTTACTTCCTTAACTACCATATTTTGTTGATTCTTCATAATTCTCTACCATAATCTATACTTCATGCATATGGATACTTAAGGTTAAAAAGAAAGGCAGGTCTAGAGTTGATAAGGAAGGAGTGGGTAGCTACAGTTTTAGAGTGGTGGAATACATATCAGGATTTTCACTTTCTTTCATCGTGACTTTCTAACAGGAATAATTCAAGTTGGTCTGGTCCTGATAGTATGTTCTTAATGGTTATGGAAATAATGTCATTATTTTCTGTAACTGCATCAGAATAACTGAAAAATCATTTATGAAACACTGAATATATTTCAGAGCACAACACATTTAAGAAGTCATATGGTGAGCAGGAAAACAACTTCAAAATATTTTCATCCAGACTTATCAAATCCTGCACACTAAAGAGTGAATTACTCTTACCTAAAATCCTTATTCTTTTTTTTAATTTAATTATGTTATGTTAATCACCATACATTACATCATTAGTTTTTGATGTAGTGTTCCATGATTCATTGTTTACATATAACACCCAGTGCTCCATTCAGTATGTGCCCTCTTTAATACCCATCACCAGGCTAACCCATCCCCCCCCACCCCCTCCCTCTAGAACCTTCAGTTTGTTTCTCAGAGTCCATTGTCTCTCATGGTTCATCTCCCCCTCCGAATCCTTATTCTTAACAGGAAAGTAAGATTGAATTGTTTCTCCAAATAGGTCAAACAAATAATTTTATTGCTGTGCATACTATTTTCTTCAATGATCCAGGACTTAGTACTTCTAAAGTATATTCTTAATGAGAAGTACAACTGAAAAATTCACTTTATCACTCTAAAGAGTAAACTTATTCTTTAAACATGCTAAAATTATTTTTTCATGTTTTTGCTCTTTGTGTTACAAATACCAGAAATATGTTTTCCGTACTGTTAGATTTTGTACTGATTTTAACTTAATTAACAAAGTAGTTAATAAATTTGACAAATATTAATTGAACTTCTGAAATAGGTTATGTGCTATGCCAGGCATTATGAAAAATACAGAGATATAGAGGGTAACACATGCCCTAAACCTGTGTTGTCCCAAATGATAGCCACTATCCGTATGTGTCTGTGGGGCGCTTGAAATATGGCTAGTCCAAATTGAGATGTGCTCTAAGTGTAAGGTACACACTAGATTTCAAAGATGCAGTACAAAAAAATGTAAAATAAGTCATTAATCATTTGTTTATATTGATTTTATAATAAATTATAATATTTTGGTTATGGGGCTAAATAAAATATATAATCATAATATAAGTAATATAATAAAATACATTATTACTTAACCCTGTAAAATTAATTTCACCTGTTTAAAAAAGACTTTTTATGTGGCTAACTAGAACATTTCAAATTACTTGTTTGTCTCAAAATATATTTCTATGGGGCAGTGTTGCTCTAAATGATTTACAATGTAACAAAGTATGGAAAACACGTACAGTGGACCCTTGAACAACTCAGGAGTTAGGGGCACCAACACCTGCATAGTCAAAAATCTGAGTATAAAATTGGACTCCCCCAAAACTTAACCATTAATAGCTAACTCTTGACCACAAGTCTTACTCATGACATAAACAGTTGATTGACCCATATTGTATGCTACATGCTTAATATATTGTATTCTTACAATAAATGAGAATAGTATTAAGAAAATCATAAGGAAAATACATTTATAGTAATGTGCTGTATTTATAAAAAAAATCAGTGTATAGGTTGAGCCATGCATTTCAAACCTGTGTTCTTCAAGGGTTAACTGTGTATAAAATCACCTTGTAAGACAATAAATGATTTAGACTATTGGGATAAATTGTACTCATAGTTGTTCAGAGGAGGAAATAGCTTTTCTGGAAGCTGATGCTGGTAGAAATTTCATGGTGGGTATAACATTTTTAAAAAATATTTTATTTATTTATTTGAGAGAGAGAGAGACAGATAGTGACAGAGATAGTGAGAGAGAGCACAAGCGGGGAGGAGAGGGAAAAGCAGGCTCCCACTGAGCAGGGAGCCCGATGCGGGACTCGATCCCAGGACCCTGGGATCATGACCTGAGCCGAAGGCAGACACTTAACTGACTGAGCCACCCAGGAGCCCCTGGGTATAGCATTTTATCTGAGCTTTGTAAGTTGGTAGAAATTTGGCCAGTGGAAATGAAGAAAAAATATGACAAAAAGGAATGAATTGCACTGGAGGTGGTAGGCATAGCTTAACAGGGATTCATAATTCATATAGTAACCATTATAATAATTTCTAATGTCTCTCAAGTGCTTTACATGCCCTATATTATTAAATCTGCACATGAGACATTATCACTGTTCTCATTTTACAGGAAACTGAGGCAAAGAAATTTTCATCAACTTGCTCAGGGTCCCATAGCTAAGTAAGTGTCTGACTAGGATGCAAACCCAGAAAATCAGCTTCCCACATGTGCAACCGCAGTCTGCTCTTGTCTCTTTAGCAGATAAAACCAGGATTTAGATAAACTCAAGGACATAAGATGGATTTTAGGACTTCTGTGTTCACCCCTGCAGTTGTATAATAATTTCATGAGTATTATGCTTTAGTGTAAAGGTGATAGGAAAATTATATAACAAATGATATGACCTGGATTCTCGTCAGTCAAACTGAAAGTAGCCATGACAGCCGAGGTGCTGGGTTGTAGAGACATTAATTCTTTACTTGCTGGTTTGGAGGAGATTCTGGGGTTCTTGGAAGGCATATGTAGGGTAGCAGCCTATTAAACCACTTATACTTAAAAAATATTTAAGAACAGGGCGCCTGGGTGGCTCAGTTGGTTAAGCGACTGCCTTCGGCTCAGGTCATGATCCTGGAGTCCCGGGATCGAGTCCCGCATCGGGCTCCCTGCTCGGCAGGGAGTCTGCTTCTCCCTCTGACCCTCCCCCCTCTCATGTGCTCTCTCTCTCCTCTCATCCTCTCTCTCAAATAAATAAATAAAATCTTTAAAAAAAAAGATATTTAAGAACAGTATAGCTGTATAAATATACACCCACTATCAGTTTTCCCTCTGTGCATTTTCATCTCCATCTTAGGGCCTTTGCACTTGCTGCTCACCTCACTTGGGACTCGCTTCCCTCAGATGGTCATATAGCTGGTTCTTTATCATTCCGGTTTCAGCTTACGTATCACTTCCTATGATTTTTCCCCCAAATCCTTTTCTAAAGTCACTCTTTAACCCATGAGCCTTTTAAAACTTACTTTGTAACTCTGACCATTAATTGAAATTATTAGATTTATGTATTTGTTCATATATTTTCCATTTGCCCTTGACCCTTGAGAAAGCAAACTCCATGAGCGAAGGACCTTGTCTCCTTACTCTGGCTGCACCATCAGTGATTAGAACAGTGCCTGGCGCATTGTAGGTCCTTTAAATATTTGCGACCGGATGAATGAGGAGGAGGTCTGTAGTGTTCGTTAGATTCTAAAAATTTAAGAAGTACGGACTTAATGGAGCACTCAAATTTGCTTGAACCAGTGGTTTATAGCCTCATTTGCAGACATTTAGCTGGCAGAGTTGATTTGGATCTACATGAAGATTCCAGCGCAGAGGAAGGGGACATTGGGCACATTCTCCAGGTGGCTCAGTTTAGTACATGACTTCCTCAGTTCACTCTGTTGTTCTGCTGCTATAGGGACACTATAGTGGGAGACAGTAAGGGGGCTGTTGGAATTCTCCGGCAGGAGGTAGTGAGGGCCTCACTGTGATAATGGCAAACAATGGAGAGAAAGCCCCTTATGGAAGAGAGGACAAATGTGAGGTCCAAAACATGACACAAATTCAGCTTTCAGTTTTCAGTGTTTTCTCTGCGGCCTATCTAACTTCATGAATCAATGAGCCAAATTAGCCAAGCTAGATGGCTTAGGGTTTTATAGAGATTTTGCTCCACTCCATAAAAGTCCATGTGAGTGATTGTCCAGGTCTTTTGCATAAGCTCTTCCTCTTCCTTGATTCTAGCAAACCATTCCTCACCTGCTTGCCTGAACAAATCCTACTGGTCATCTCTTACAGCTCTGCTGAGGTGTGACTTCTCCCAGGAAGGCTTCCTTGACTTCCCCTTCGGTATAAACTTTGGTGTGTTTGGTCTGTGTTTCCACAACACCCTACACTTTCCCTATCGCTGCAGTTACTGTATTTTATTTTATTTTATTTTTTTAATGTAATCTTTAAAAAAAAATTTTTATTTATTTATTTGACAGGGAGATAGAGCCAGAGAGCACAAGTAGAGAGAATGGCAGAGGGAGAGGGAGAAGCAGGCTCCCCACTTGAGCATGGAGCCCAATGCGGGGCTCCATCCCAGGACCCAGGGATCATGACCTGAGCCGAAGGCAGACACTTAACCGACTGAGCCACCCAGGCGCCCCCAGTTACTGTATTTTATCATAATCACTCGATTCCCAGTAGACAAATATTTCTCAATCTTTTGTGTTTGTTTTTGCCCTCCTAAGGAGTTTTTTTAGATATTTTTCCCTCTAATCAACCCTCCCCATTAATTTTAATATCACAGAACACAGTATGCATATTTGTATTTTATAAATTAAAAGTGCAAAGTCTTTTCAGCTTGCCCAAGAGCGAATTTTCCCTCCTGGAGGGTGATGTTATTCTAGTTGGAAATGCAATTATTATTCCAGGCACAGATATTGTCCTGTTCAATTTGCATTTCCAGTGCCAGGCATACAGTACATGCTCGATAATTATTTATGAATAGTCAGATGAATGAGGCAATTTCTTCAAACCTTAAGATTGTTTAGTCTTGGGCGCCTGGGTGGCTCAGTTGGTTAAGCGACTGCCTTCGGCTCAGGTCATGATCCTGGAGTCCCTGGATCGAGTCCTGCATCGGGCTCCCTGCTCGGCAGGGAGTCTGCTTCTCCCTCTGACCCTCCCCCCTCTCATGTGCTCTCTCTCATTCTCTCTCTCTCAAATAAATAAATAAATCTTTAAA